TAATGGGTCTAAGATCTAGTTCTTCCGATCTAGTTCTTAGACCCATTAACGCTCGGCGCCGGCGCCGGCCGCGTCGTCGCCCGCGCCGGGCCGGCTGCCGCAGAGCGCCGCCGCGGCCTCGCCGCCCGCGCCCGCCTCGGCCTTCGCCTGCCGCCTGCTCCTCTCCACGGTCAGCGCCATCTCGCTCGAGTCCAGGCTCCTGGACTTCCCGCACTTCTTGAGGCTCGGCGTCTTCGCCGCGTCCGCCTGCCTCGCGTCGTGCGTCCGGAAGTGCCTCCGGGGTCTCCTCTGCCGCTTGTTGTTGACGAGGACCAGGCGCCGCGGCGGCTCGCCTCGCAGCGCCGTCAGGCTGACGTGCGCGTAGGGGGCGTGCGGGTCCACCAGGTCCAGGTACCCGACGCTGCAGCTGCGCGTCATCGTGTCGTACACCGGCACGTTGGCGCACACCGGGCTGATCGGCACCACCGTCGTGGTCCGCTGCACTCGCACTTCCTTGACTCTGTCGGTTAAGTTGTTGATGGTCGTGTCGACGGGAGTCTCCTCGTCTATAAACTTGAGATCGTCTCCCTTCTGTTGCAAATTCTTTAGCGTCTCCGCCATCTCTTTTCTAGCCGCCGCGTCCGGGTGCAGCTCCCTGTCGTAATACCTTTGACACATTTTTAAAACCCTGGCGTCGAACGACGCCGCGGCGGCGTTAATAGCGGTGATGGGATCTTTGCAAATGTTTCTGCGCAACTTTGACATGCAAGTATCCGTGACATTATTGTCAAATTTCTTAATCGTTACTTGTCTACTGGGCTCTAAAGAAAGATTTAAACTGAACGACTGCTGCTCCGACAGATTGCCTTTCAAAGATGCATTGTCACTTCGAACACTATAGTCGGTTCTACCTCCACAGAAGTCTCCCCTGCCGCCGCAGGTGACGGTTTGCGGCGAAGGTCTTTCGAAAATGATATCAGTAGGTGCAACAGCATTCTTAGGGGACTGTAACGTAGGCACTGAGCTCTCACAGCGTAATGGCGATATGGCATGTCTGTTTGAGACAGAGGAGGGATTATTAACTCTACGTTCAGCGGGACCGTGAGACGCGTGCTTCACCGGGTTAGAGTAGGCTTCCGTTGCATTATTCACGTCATTAGTGTCGATGTAAGGGAACTCGTCGTAAGACTCTGCGCGGGCTAAAGAAGGTCCGTTGGCGTTATTGTTTGGATTATAGTTTTCGTTTTGATTTATTATATTATTTACATTGTTCTTTCTTTCGTTTAATGTTAACTTCCTCCGTATATTGTTGTTAGTGTGGGAGGGGGAATTAGTGTCATTGGATTGGAAAACTTCTTCTTCGTCTTCGGAGAATATGTTTGGGTTAAAGTTTGGATCGGGTCCGACCGGAAAGTCGTCTCTTAACTCTGTGATCATCAGTGTCATCTGGCGCGGCTGAAGGTGCAGCAAGGACGTCTTGTAAGTAACCTGGCCGAGATTTGCAGGGACGTTCTTCGCGAGACCGTGCATTTTAAACTTGGTCCCCCAAATATTAGATGTAACTTCTACTAAGCGGACATCCTGAAAACGAAGAAACAGAGCGACTAGTATTCAAAACTGCCTCTTGTGTTGAGGTAGATAGTTTTTAGAATTTCCAGACTCTCGGTTTTACCTCAGGTAAGGAGTCAATGTAAGCAAGTTCGTCGCCAGGGTCGTCCTTTTCGCTCGAACTGCGGACCTTCCGCCGCTCGCGCGCTCGCCGTCGTCTCTGGAGTCTCGGAGACCCGGAACAACCTGCAATGACGCAGTTCCAATAAAGGATATGAAATTAAATTTTCGATGTTATATTCTTTCTACAACGTGGAAAAAATCAATGGAACATGAAGGGGATGTACCTTAAACGCTTGAGATAGCTAATTTTACTTCTACAGGTAACATGATTTTATTTTTTCATAGAATTATTGAAAAGCTTGCCTGTACCGGGAATCGAACGAACTAACAATGCAAAAGAAAAACAAACTCTATTTTATCGAGGTCTTAGGTCGTCGCGATTGTTACAAACTAAATATAACCTAACATGAAAAGTAATATTAATATCGACTTTAACGTGAAGTACACGAAGTCCATTAATCACTAAAGACGCAAATTGCAACCTTTTGCAGACATTGATTTTTTTCCACCCTGTATACAATATTTTGTCAGTGAGACGCAGAGTTCCCAGCATAACACCAGGGCTACGTTACTCGTTCAAGGTTACGCGATAAGTGCCTACAGTTGAGTGCGCCGACGTCGGCGCAAGCGCTCATACAAGTCTTTCATTTATGAGCATTCGGCTCCGCACGACTGCACACGGCGGGCAACGTTATTTTCACCTATCTGAGCGCGTGCTTAGGTTCCTTTTTCCTCGTACTGAGCACCTGGCGTCATTAGTCAGACTTAGTAAGCTATTATAGCGTAGGTATTTTCGATTTTGTATCTGTTATGTAGTAACTATTAAGTAATCTATGGTAAGTAGTAACACTATCTCTGTCATTGCTTACCTTCCTCCCGCTCAGTATCAGAAGAGCACGAGTCGTTGTGCGGCAAGGGCGGTAGACGGCGGGAGGGGCGCGGCGTGCGGGGCGTACGCGGGGCGCGGGGGGAGGAAGTCCGCTCACTCTTCGCGCTGCCCCCGCTGCCCGCGCTGCCCCCGCTGCCCCCGCTGCTGGACGAGCTGGTCGCTCCACTGCTGCTGCTGCTACTCTCGCGAGTAAACGTACTCACTACTGCATTTTCTGAAACATACATCATTGTCAAAGTCACTGTCAAATTATCTTTATTACTACTGATTAAACTCGTCTATTGCTCATTCGTAAGGCAGATTTCCCTGAGAAGAATGAGCAAGAAACTCTAGGGGTTGCTCTTTGTAAATATACTTTTAAATACATTTATCATTACAATACTTAATTTAAACATCTAAGATTGAGAATACCTTAACGAGCTAAACGGGTCACAACCACGGATTTTTGTCATCCAAGTACGCAGAAGTTGTATAATAAATAACTTTTAGTATAAAACTTTTTATTTCAATATGGTTTTATACTCGTAAATGGCAAATTTTGAACTTGTATACATTGCCCTATAAATTAATTTGAGACTTTGTGAAAACGACTGTCAAGAACAGATAGTTTGTTTTTATTCCTCGTATTAATGTAATGTCTGTCACTATTTTTCATAAGAAAATTAATATTTTTTTTAACACAAATAACATTTTCATATTGAGTACTAAGTACGTCCTTGTACCAGCTTTAATAGACTCGAATGTTCTGTTTGTCGTTGCATCCTTGATATCCTGAAGCATTCTATGCCGAATATAAAGTAAAACAATCATCTTTTTCTAAGTCACTTAAAGCTAGTAATGTATTTAGTCAAACAAACCTTCCGCTTGAGGATCAAAGATGACAAATTCCGGTCTGATTTTGCTGGTTCTTCTTCCTTTTAACAAGGGCACCAAGCCCCCGAGGTGTTCGAGATAGAGGGTGTAGGCACCAGTTTCCTCGTCGTCGTGTCGCAGCATGGTGCAGTGGAGACGCCCGTTAGCTGACGGGGGACGGGATACGAAGCGACGGAGCTCATTTGTTTCGGGAACGTTACACTGCAAGTATATATATTTTATAATATCAAGCGACAATACAACAAGTCGTGTGCCTGATGGTAAGCTACACGCTTGTCCATAACAGTTGCAGTGCCACTCAGAGCTTTAAATTGTAAAGATCTGAGGGGCACTGCCACTGCGCCCGTCACCCTGAGACATAAGTTTTGTAAGGCAGTGAACAACCCATTATTATTAGGATGGCTTATTCGGGCCCTGTGAAGCCAAGCAAATTAATCATTCTGATCACCACTAGACATTTAATTCAAGAGCTCAGGCCACTAGTTTAGTGTTTTTACCTTCACTGGCAAGGCCATAATATGACTTTCCAGGAGTAAGTTTCTTAACGCACAAACTATTGTACACTAGCATAGATACCTCTCTATTGTATTTGGTGCTGTTGTTGGAGACGTTAATCAGGGAGGCTGTGCATCAATTAATCCTAATGTCAATCTTAAATTTAAATCTTTATTTTGGTCCTTCGAGCCGGACAAGAAAACAGACGTTTAAAAGATATTGTCAGCAGTCATATTGTCTATCATATTTGAGGAAGAAGTGTTAATAATCTAATGTATGCAGATGATACGGTGCTGCTCAGCCCTTCTAGAGGGTTGAGGAAATTAACTTCCATCTGTGAAGAATATGCAAAGTTACACGGCTTGGTTTATAGGTAATATTAACAAAACAGTTTATTATGGTCTTTCAATACAAAAAAGAACCAGATTTTGTACGTGATGTATGTCTGAATAGTAGTAGGTTCGTTAGGAGAGATAAATTCCGTTATCTTAATCATATAGTGACTGAAAGTGTAAGTGATAATGATGGTAACGCACTTTAAGGCGTACTAACAGACACTGTATACATATAACTGTGGGTTAACTGTATCAAATAAGCGCAACAATGCCATCCGCGTTCAATATAAAAATGTATGTAGAGCTATGTTTAAATTGCCACGATACTGTAGTGCATCTGACACGTTTTTGTTAGCACGTACGGACGGGTTTACTGCTGTGCTTAGAAAGGGTTTCTTCTCTTAGACAGAGAGTGCTCGACAGTACTAATAGCATTATGCCTGCTATAGCTCGCAGCGACTCGTCTTTACTGGGACATTGGATAATTAAGTAACAAAAGTAAAGAAGTTATATCTAATGTTTAAATCTAATTGATCATTGTAATTCTATGGATTTGTTAAGTCTGAAATAAATGCTTATTATTGTCGTACCCGAATGGTGTGAGCGAAGAGGTTAGCCAAGGCTGGCTGCAGTCTCGGCGGCAACGGCAAGCGCGTAGCCAACCGAGGGTCCCGTAGCGCCTGCGCCGCACGCACACGGGCCAGCAGCTGCAGCGGGGCTACCACACGCCACACGCGTGCTGTGCACACCGCGCCGCCCACGCTCACGAACAGACGACGCCCGGCATGGCCCCAGGTGAGGGCTGTCACTTTTGCCTGCGTATATAATTAATGTGTGTTTTTAGGTCTGAGGTCATTGTTTCCTGGTAGTTCGCAAATATTAAATTAGTAGACAATATCGCATACGTTGCTCTGGTGGTCTACTCTCGTCCTCCTTTCGACATCCATCCGAAACAATTACTGTCATTTGATAGTATTATTTATTTAATAGTAATAATAAACCATTTATTTCAGGCCATAGCCCATAAGATAATGGTGTTATTTACAAAAGAAAACCTTAAAACTATGTTAGTATGATTGCAATGAATTTTGAAATATTGATAGAAAATTTAAATATTAGTAATGTTTACCCAAAACTTTAAAATTATACAGTCAAAACGACAGGCAAACATCTTCAGGATGCCATTGCCACTGTCACGCACTCGCTTTAGCAGAGACGACACTTTTTTTCGCCTAATGGCATAATATAGTATTACTTATTTGATAGTAATTGTTTCGGACAGCTGTCGGACGGGGAACGAGAGTACAAAGGCCTGATCCCAAAGTAAGCCCCAAAGAGCCTTGAACACCGCTGTAAATTTGCCTGATTATCGGAATTCTGCAGAAAATATCTCGGAGAGTGTGCGTCTCAATTGCAATTTAATCTGCCTTCCCCTTTCCATCATCGTGGGACTAGACGTAGGCTGGGGTTCCACCCCTATGTTGTGGATATTTCAAGCATTCGAACGAAGCGTTTTGCTTTCACACTCAAAGTAAAATTCCTTGCCTGCAGACTCTTTCCCTGAACGGCATAACTTGGGCCCTTTCAAGCTGAGAGTGAATAGGTATCGTTTAGGTGTGCATGCTCCATCGTCGACTTCATGGTCACTTTCCATCAGGTGAGATGGAAGTCAAAGACGCACTTGTTTTTTCTTAAGTAAAGCACGTGTATTATGGAATTCGAAAACAACGACGTTACCACGACCATCCACCCCCGAAACAACCCGACGGGGGTTCTAACCCGGGACCTCAGAGATGACGACACCACAGAAACCAATGTGGAAGCCACTCTACTACGGAGGTCGTCAAAATCAGTTAAATTCTTAGTGAAATTTCGTCTACCGATTACAAGCACACGTGTAGAATAGATTTGTGAGTGTAGTTCCCGGTCTGCGCAGATTGAAAGCAGAAGCCTTACATTAGTATGTAGGGTTGGCGTCGGCCGATTGTATAGAATTTCGAGACTCGTAAGTGCTACTGAATTCAGCTTGAATAAAATTCTTAACATAGTACTGTGGTGGTGGTGCTGGTGCTGGAGGCGTTCTGGTGGATTGTAATAGTGTAGTCTGGATAGCAGTAATAGCCTCCGCAACCCCCCCAGCAGTAAGTTTAGCAATTTAAACGTTGAAAGTCCAGTTTATAGGTATTTATTCGGTTTTAACAAACATATTATAATCTTTAAAATGTAAACTGTATAAATATAGCTAGTAAACGATTCAAAAAGATAAGTAGAGATACGATAAGATAAATAGAGAGTGACGATAGAAAGAAACAAAATCAGAATGCGAGGTAAAATGGAACAATTCAAAATTTTAAATTTAAATATGAGTAGTAGAAGAAAAAACGATACGATACGAATGGAGAGAGGCGATACAAAAACGTGGGATGACGGTATAAGGAGGTCACACCGTCACAGTACACTTCTAGAATCACTCACCTGCACGTAAGGTATAGGTACAGTGTAAATGAGAGCACCGGTGTCCGAATAAAACTTTACCACGTTATTGTATGGAGCTGCGTCTGCCGGTTCGTTCGGTTCTGAAACAAAATGATAATGTTACTATTTTATAAGACGTGAGTAGCGCTTATGTAAGTACAAGAAAACTTATGCAAGCTCGAAAAACGCGTTACGTACTAATTTAAAATTTGTCCTCGGTGTATATGTTACCAGCTCGTTATACGGCTAGGTATGGATGGGCGTAATTTTTTTATGAGACCAGTGACGGGACGAACAAGTCGCCCACCAGGTGGTAAGTGACACGCCACACGCCTGTCCATACCAGTTGCAGTACCACTCAATGCTTTAAATCACAAAGATCTAAGGGGCAATGCCACTGCGCCCGTCACCCTGAGACATAAGTTGACAAGTCTCATGTGCCTGTAATTTCATCAGCACACTGACCCTTCAAACCCGGAACGCAGTAATGCTCACATTATAGCTTGGCGGCAGAAACAGGTAAGGTGGCAGTACTTCCCTGAACGAACTCCTGCACAAGGAGCTCTGCTACTAAATTCTATTCATTATGAAGAGTATAAAAATTAAATCCATTATGCTTGCTCTACAGCGGTTTTCATTTTTTATTAAATACCAGCTGGTGCCCTCGACTGCAACTTTCATCAGGGGATGAAAGGGATTTGACCTCCTTTTAAGGTTTATTTTTGTGACAAAAAGCCTATGTCCTTCTCCTAGGTCCCATTTATCTCTATACCAAAATTCGTCAAATTTGATTCAGCAGTTTAGGCGTGAAAACGTTACTGCCTTATTTATAATATCGGGTTTTTCAATAAGACGTAACAGTTTTGTATTTCAATAAAACAGAAGAATTGAGATGCCGAACTGAAATTAAGTCCAGAAGCAGTATACACGTTACATTTAAGAATGAAATTCGATCTCGTTCATATGACCACAGCAAGCACTTTTGCAGCGTTCTATTCTTTAGAGCTAACTTTCCATCACTCTTCCTCACATATCGGACGAAATGTTGGCAATTTCGCGTTTGACATTGTTCCTGAACTCAATGAACGCTGTTGGCTTGTTGACATAAACCAACGACTAACTAATGACCACCGCGAACACGTTTGTAGTTAGTCAAACAATAGATCCTTTGAAGAGGAGGTTCAATAATGTGTGATTACATGAGAGATTGTGCGAAATGGTCCGTTCGAATGACCACCTCGCTCATGCGGTCTAACGCAGTTGGATTACTTTTTATGGGGTTAGGTTTAATCGTTGGTTTATGCCAACAAGTCAACAGCGTTAATTGAGCTCAGGAACAATATGAAACGCTTATCAAACGAAGTCCGATATGTGAGGTAGAGTGGTGGAACATTAGCTCCAAAGAATTGAACGCTGCAAACGCGCTCGCGAGGGTCATACGAACGAGATCGAATTCTATTCTTAAATGTAACATGTGTATTACACCGGAATTAATTTACTTTTCGAGTCTCAATTACTCTGTGTTTTATTGAAATACAAAGTTGTTATGTCTTTATTGAAATACCCTATATAATAATATAAGAAGAATAAGAATACATTTATTGCATAACTGTAGGTAATTGCATAGGGTCTTAAAATATTACATTGGTTTATGCTCTATAGTCTACCAGTTAAGGTGTACAATATTATTAAATGTCACAGATTAAAATTAAATTGCATTACAATTTGAAAGCAAAAAAACTATAATTAATAAACATGTCACACGCTAATCACCAAATTTGTGTTGTCCAAAACTCTTGTACACTATATAATATATTAAATATATTAAATTTTATGAACTCGATTTTTTACATTCATTCGAGATGCTGTTGTATATCTTGACCGACATTACGTAAAAGCTTTTGTGGTAAAATGCTGAGGTATGGTTGCCCGAGTAAACTATTCTATGCCCATGTCATAAATTTCTAAGGTTCCTTTTATTTACGATTTCGAAACACGTTTCTGGACAAACCCAGCAGCCTCCTTAATGAACAGGCAGGGTAGAGGTAGGATTTTGCACTTGTCGAAAAATGGCTTTCACCAATCCATTTGAGACTCCCCTCAAATGATATATTGGTATACATGAAACAGTCATTATTAAAAAGTCAAATAATATCCACTAAACGTTTAAACTTTCGTCCACGGGCAAAGCTAGTTGGAGTAGAACCACGCCTTAAAACTTTCGAGAAGGCACACTTTTCATTTAATGTACCTATTACTATATAGAAAGGCTTTTAAGAGCACTCTGTTCAAGCAACCAGTGAATAAGTTCTTGAGTAATTTCATCTAAAAACCCTCTATAAAAAGCCCTTGGTTAATATAAGACCTAGTCTAGAAAACCTCTCGAAAACTTTTGATTCCACATTTTCGACCACGTTGAATACTCATCTTTCGTATTAATTAAATCCAGCAGCTAAGTTTTGAAGATTTATTTTGGACTTCTGTATTGATTTGACCAGAAAGTATTTCTGATTTAGACTGTACTTAATTGGGGACGGGTAAATTTATACCTTTCACCTACTAGAAACTTATGTCGGTGGGTGGCTCATGTCCACTAAAATATTCACTGGTTACGGTACGTAGGTACTTCTTAATAAATTCATCTCGAGTACCTTAGGGTGGGTGTATTAATTAATTAATTTGATACCATTAAGATTGTACTTGTAATAGTCTTTTATAGTAGGTAGTTATTACCAGAGAGTACGTCAACGATTACTTAGGTATTTCAACGCGAGTCTAGATTTTAGGTGGAGGTGGTGGAGGTATGCGCCTCTCGCGTCCCGCAATCGGTGCGCGGTAAGTTAATATGAATAAAATAAGAACAGGCGGAGAAAATTTGACACAGATCCAACGTCGACAAGCGCCCGATGGCGATTAACGGGGCAGCGGGCGGCGTGGCGTGTCGTTAAACCGCTGGGCAATTTGCAAATTTTGGAATAAATATGAACTTAATAACTAATAGGGCTTCATGCGATAACCAAAATTTAGTAGGTTCTCTGTAGTACTCAAAGAGAAATATCTTCATATAAAAATTATATGCAAATTAAATTTTTATTGAATTGATATTCAATTATTTTTTGTGAAATTACTCCACTAGTTTGTTATAATTATTAATACAAAGATCGAACACTCAGAAAAAATTCCTTCGATCCGGTCGGATTCGAACCGACGTCTTCTTGCATACCGTGTCAGACGCTATACCAACTAAAGCCACGGAACGAACCAACGGACCTCACGAATTTTTCTATGTGCTTGCGTCGTGTCTTTGTACTTGGTTTTTCAACGACTTTTTAGTCGTAGCGCCATCTATGAGAAATCTATGACAGATTTATCACCCGTTATATTATTATATGCTAAGTTAGATAATATTTGATTCTTAAATAATTAGTTTTGTTTTAGCCTGTTTTCGGGATTTTATGTGATCGATTGGGTAAAGTACATCTTATCGTGTACCAAATTTGCAAATTCTCTAGACAATATCCGTAGGTGCATCGTATATTTTTGTAACACCGTTATTTAAGAGTCGATACTGCCTCAGCTTGAATTGAATTTTTTCCCGCACCAATACGGTTCATTTTGCTTGGGTCGAGCAGTATGGACACTGGCTCAATTTTAGAATTTAAAAAAAATAATTGTTGTGTGACGCGAGTGCTTGTATTGATACCTGCAAGCGAAGGAAGGTAAGATTAAACCTAGAGCGAAGCGAGCGGTTCAAAAATAGCGTCCTGAGCGTAGCGAGGGTTTCAAGGCCCGAGACGCAAAACAACTTTGCTGCCGACCGAAACACACAACTTTTCACCTCACTGTAGCGAGGAAAAACAATTTTCAGATGAAAGAAAAACAGTTGAACTATAAACATCAGTTTTTATAATGAAAAGAAAAAGTTTATCTTCGAATGTGTTCTGAATTTGCACTTCATCATTTTTATTCTTGCTTGTACTTATAATTTAGTGTGATTATTGAAATTATTTTAGTTCTTCGATGAATTAAAATAATTTAATAAACGCAATTAGTTCTCAGTGTCAATTTAATGTCGACAATAATAAGAATAAAATATACCAACGGATTTATATTACATAAATAAATAATTTATCACAAATCGCGTAGTTGAACGAGTCACTATCCTTTTTTTTTTCATCGTAAGACAAAGCGCTAAACAGTGTCCGCACCTATAGGGCGTTAAAATCGCATACATCGTGTCAATCGCGCAACAGTCTTCATTTGTTCGAGCGACAGCGCGGTTGTCAATCATGCAGTATCATATAATAATAACTTGTAAAAATTACCGCAGTAAAGTGTAAAAACAGGATTTTGTATCATATATTCACTAAACAAATATATCGTGTTATCATAGTTCTCATTTAAGAGTGTTATTTTGTACAGTTTTATCGTATTTAATTTATATATAAATGAATCGTAAATATAAATTACTAAAGGACACAAAATAATCAAATAGCTAACTGTCCTTTTTCTACACATTGCAGGCGCAAAAGATGGAAAGAGACCCATTACGTCAATTTCAAGAAGTTTATATAAACTTTTTGGTCATTTTCAATTGTTCGAACCACAAGCGATTGAAATATTTAGAACAAAGAAACTGTAGAGTCGCTTTGATTTTAATCTTATTTAAAAAAATATCTTTTATTAATGACGTTTAAGTCGAGCTAACGAAATAGAATGTCAAATGTATTTTTTTAGGAAGATTATAAAACTAAACTAAATCGGTTTTCGGAATTACGGTTTACGTTTAGTTGGAATATCAGTACATTTCTTATAGTACACGCTTACTTTCACATTTATAGTAATATTTGTATGTTTGTATCTGCCCAACTCTTTATTATTTCTTTAAGTGAATTTGCACAAAATTCGACATAATAATATATATAAAAATTAATTAATATTTGCGATAAAGGCTACTCCATTACTTTTGTGTTCAAGTAATGTTCAGTCGAAGCTAAATATGGTGCATTTTGTTAAATTTCCAGTAGAAGCTGAATATGGTGTTTTTGGGTCCTTAAATTATTGCAAGCAAAATTAGGCAGTACTGCAATGACGTTACAAT